AGGCGTTTACTCTCTGCCCAGAACTAGGACTCAATGGAGATCGAAAGGGAAGAACACATCTCTATTCAGGTGATGCATACACTAAAAGCCCAGACCTTACCACAACGAAATGTACAAAATCTGTACTTGTACCCACTAAGTATATAAAGGTTTAAAAAAAAATTTAAAAAGAAAGAGGAGAACACATATTCCAAGAATTCTGTGCTCTCTCCTGTGGGGTACTGAATTTTCTTAAACACAGATTCTGAGAACTCTGTGATTTCTCTCATGGAGTGCTGAGTTTTCTTAATCATTTATAAAATAAGAAATCTCTTTGATTGGGGGTAAATTAACACTCCTGAAAATACAATCTCAGTGGTTACTATAGCTATAATTTTGTTATTCAGCCAATTTTTCTACTTTCTACTTTAACAGAGGGAGACCGCAAAGTGTTAGTAGTTTTGAATTTGTAAAACGAGGGCGGAAGGGACTGGGCACAGTGGCTCACACCTGTATCCCGGCACTTCAGGGGGCCAAGGTGGGCAGACCACTAATCCTGGCACTTTAGGGGGCCAAGGTGGGCAGACCACTTGGGGTCAGGAGTTCGAGACCAGTCTGACCAACATGGAGAAAACCCGTCTCTACTAATAACACAAAAATTAGCCAGGTGTGGTGGCACATGCCTGCAGTCCCAGCTACTTGAGAGGCTGAGGCACAAGAATTGGCTTGAACCTGTGAGGTGGAAGTTGCAGTGAGCCAAGATCGTGCCACTGCACTCCAGCCTGTGCAACAAGAATGAAACTCCATCTCAAAAAAAAAGAAAGAAAAGAAAGAGGACAGAAGGATGGCCCACAGCACTGTTTGGTGGGTACTCACTCAGGGCCAGGATCTGCCAGATACTATGTGGATGCTGTGTGGTTTGGTCCTCACAGCAACCTTGGGAGATTTGTGTCCTTATGAAAAGTGTTTATGAAAAGGACTGTACTATGTGGTTTTTGTCTTGATTCAAAAGCCACTGGATGACCGAAGAAGGGAGGTTTTAAAAATAGGGATTATGGATCATATTAGTGTAGTTTCGTGATCAAAAGTGACTTAGAGATTGGGAACTAGGCCAATGTCTCTGAAACTTTAACAAGATAACAAGTCACCTGGGAATCTGGTTAAAATGCACATCCTGATTTCTTAGTTCTAGGCTGGAGCTGGTCTGATATTCTGTTTCTAATAAGCTCTCAGGTGATGTAGGCCACAGGCCACATTTTGGGTTACAAGAATTTAGCTATTAGTTTTGAGAACAGAAATCTTAGATTAAATTTAGTTGCTTACCAAGAGTATGTCTCACAGAGTTCTCATTCTGGTACCTAATTAAAAATTTCAGTTGTATCCAGCAACTGTTGTATTATTCATGTGCATTAAAGCTCGTATTTGAGGAAAGTACAGTCAAGAATGATCAACAAATATGTGTGATAGATTTAGCTAAAAGTGGAGTTAAATAGTTTTTCTCTTAAATGCATATATAAAAACTCTCTTTGATCTTCAGCTCTCACATGTACACTGTCAGTTGTATTGGAATCTTTTTACATATTGTGCAGTATGTTTCTTTAAAAATTGTACCAGTTGCTAATTGCTGTACACAAGCTTATTGTGTGGGCTCTAATAGTTCACTGCAGCTTTTAACTAGAAAATCTATTTGATAGGAAAGAAGTCACCAGCAAATATTTAATCTAAAAAAAGAATGTAGGCCAGGCATGGTGGTTCGTGCCCGTAATCCACCACTTTGGGAGAGGCTGAGGTGTGTAGATCACTTCAGGTCAGGAGTTCAAGACAGGCCTGGCCAACATGGTGAAACCGTATCTCTACTGAAAATACAGAATTTGCCAGGCATGGTGGTGCATGACTGTAGTCCCAGATGCTCGGAGGGCTGAGGCACTAGAATCGCTTGAACCTAGGAGGCAGAGGTTGCAGTGAGCAGAGATGGCGCTCCAGCCTGAGCAATGAGAGAGAAACTCTATCTCAAAAAAACAAAAAAAAAAAGTGATTGTGTTGATAATTATT